GGGGGGGGGTCTCTCTGTGCCTCCGCGCTGATGGGCTCAGCTTTATCCGGGGCTGTAATCCCCCCTGCTCCGGTAATTAAAAACTCCGCATTACAAGGAAAACGGTGTGCAGGGAAATGTAATCAAGTCTGGAGGGGCTTAACCATCTGGTAAAGGTTAGGACCGGCACGGCGGGGGGACGCGGCCGGGGGATTTGGCAGCCGCCGCGATCCGGGCTCCTCTTAATCTACCGCGGGGACGAGCGGCAGCATCTGCGGGGTAATATCGGTGCCTCGGGCAGCGATCGGTCTCGCTGGAGCTTCCACCACCGTTACCGGGACCTCCCCGGGGCTAGCCCCCTCCCCAGGTGCTCCAGGATCCGGTAGACCCGTTCTGGTGTGGTGCCGGGGGCCCGGATTGCATCCCCTCCCGGGGGCCAGCAGGGAAGGGGTTAAAGGGACGCCGGTGGCCGCGGTCCCCCCCCGCCCCCAGCTCCAGGCAGGACCCTCCCCCGCTGCCCCCGGCAGCCTGAAACTCTTTGGAAGTGCGAGGGGCGAGCAGAGGCGAGGGGGGACGCGGCGGTGCGGGTAGGACCCGGCGTCCCCGCAAGGGCTGGGGGGCCATGGCGGGGGCCGGGGCAGGCTCCGGGAGGGGGCAGCTCTTCCTGCGCTCCCTCCTCTTCCTCCTGCTGGCCGGGTCCCCGGCGGGTGGGCAGCTGCGCTACGCCGTGCCGGAGGAGCTGGAGCACGGAGCCTTCGTGGCCAACCTGGGCGAGGACCTGGGGCTGGACGTGTCCACCCTGTCGGCGCGGCGGTTCCGCATCGTGTCACGGGCCGGGGCCAGGCAGCACCTGGAGGTGAACCTGGAGAACGGGATTCTCTTTGTGAACGAGCGGATCGACCGGGAGGAGGTGTGCGAGGCCGGGGGGACCTGCCTGCTCCATCTGCAGCTCCTCGTCGAGAGCCCGCTGGAGCTCTACCGCGTCGAGGTGGAGGTGCTGGACATCAACGACCATGCGCCCACCTTCCCGTGGCAGGAGTATGTGCTGGAGGTGGCCGAGTCCGCCGTCCTCGGCACCCGCTTCCCCCTGGAGAGCGCCCAGGATCCTGACGTGGGTACCAACTCGGTGCACACCTACCGGCTCAGCCCCAACGGTTTCTTTTCGCTCGAGGTGCAGACGCGCAGTGACGCCAGCAAGTTTGCAGAGCTGGTGCTGGAGCGCGCCCTGGACCGGGAGCAGCAACGCGTGCACCGGGTGCTGCTCACCGCTCTTGACGGCGGTGTCCCCGAGCGCTCGGGCACAGCTCACATCCTCGTCACGGTGCTGGATGCGAACGACAACGTGCCCGCCTTTGACCAGCCCTCTTATGGCGTGAGCCTTCCTGAAGATGCCCCTGCCGGCACCTTGGTCATCCAGCTCAACGCCACTGACCTGGATGAGGGCCCCAATGGGGAGATTGAGTACTCCTTCAGTGGACACGCACCACCACGCGTCCGGGAGCTCTTCCACATAGAACCCCGGAGTGGGCAGGTGCTGCTGAAGGGCCCTCTGGACTATGAGAAAGCAAGCCTCCACGAGCTCTATGTGCAAGCCAAGGACCGTGGACCCTCGGCTGTGGCCGTGCACTGCCGGGTGCTCGTGCACCTCCTCGATGTGAATGACAATGCACCAGAGGTGACCCTCACCTCTGTGTCCACACCCGTGCTGGAGGATGCCCCACCAGGCACCGTCATCGCTGTCATCAGTGTTCTGGACCGGGACTCTGGGGACAATGGACGTGTGAGCTGCGAGGTCGGCCCCGATGTGCCCTTTGAGCTCCGCTCCTCCTTCCGCAACTACTACACGCTAGTGACCACGCAAGCGCTGGACCGGGAGGTTGTGTCCGAGTACAACGTAAGCATCACAGCGCGGGACATGGGCTCCCCTGCCCTGCTGACCCGCAGCACCCTCACTGTCCCGGTGTCCGATGTGAATGACAACGCCCCACGCTTCCTCCAGCCCTCCTACAGCGTCTACGTGATGGAGAACAACGCGCCAGGTGCCTCCATCTGCTCTGTCAGCGCGTTGGACCCCGACTGCCAACAAAACGCCTACTTGTCCTACTCCATTGCTGAGGGGCACATCCACGGCATGCCGGTGGGCACCTACGTGTCCATCAACTCGGACAGCGGGCACATGTATGCCCTGCGCTCCCTCGATTACGAGCAGATCCGCAGCTTCCAGATCCAGGTGCAAGCACAGGATGCGGGTTTCCCGCCACTCAGCGCCAACGTCACCGTCCACATCTTTGTGCTGGACCAGAATGACAACGCTCCGGTCATCGTTTCCCCCATGCCGCGCAATGGCTCTGTGGCCACCGAGTTGGTGCCGCGATCGGCCGGGCCTGGCTACCTGGTGGGCACGGTGTCGGCAGTGGACGCGGATGCGGGGTTGAACTCCCGCCTTTCCTACCAGCTCCTCCAGGCCACCGACTTCACCCTCTTCAGCTTGGCACCGGACACGGGCGAGCTGCGCACCCTCCGCTCCTTTCTGGAGCAGGATGCAACCCGGCAGCGGCTGGTGGTGCAGGTGCGTGATGGTGGGCAGCCAGCCCTCTCAGCCACCATGTCCCTCCTGCTTTCGGTGGTGGAGACCATGCCTCAGACTCTCTCTGATTTCAGCGAGTTCAGCCTCCCCCCAGAGGCCTCCTCATCTTCCCCAGTCACCCTCTACCTCCTGGTCTCCCTGGGCTCCATCTCCTTCACCTTCCTCCTCGCCATCCTCATCCTCACAGCCATTCGGTGCCGTGGAGAGCGCCACTCCCGCCAAGGTGATGGCTGCTCACCACCCCGCTGCCACTGCTGCCCCGGGTCCAGACCCTCCTCTGATGGCCTGAAGACATCCAACCTAACAGCGCAGACCCCTGCAGGGACCACGGCTGCCACCTGCCTCGACGTGCCTGGGGGTGGCCCCCCGGGCTACTGCTACAAAGTCTGCCTTGGTCCTGAGTCTGCCCAGAGTGACTTCATGTTCCTCAAACCCTGCAGCCCCCCCCGGAACAATGAGAAGGACCCCGGGAAGCGGTCCCGGCCAGGCCAGCACCTCCAGGTCTCCAAGCAGGTAACGCTGTGCCCAGTGATGCTTACCAGTGCTTCGCGGGTCCCCCCAGCCCCCTCCATCAGCCTCTGCCATGAGAGAAGCCAGGCACGGTTTTTCCCAGAGAATCTCCACTGCCTTTGATCAGTGAGGGAATTAGGAGCCGTCAGGCAGCGGGAAACTCTCCATTGAGCTTCCCGATGTGTCTAATTACCAGGGGAGCTTCGGGCTTGGCTGAGGCGAGAGGAAATCCCTTTCTGCCGCCTTTTGCACCCATTAGAGGCAACGGAGATGCTTCATTGCTCTGGAGGAGTGGGATGGTGGGGGTGGCATCTCCTTTATGTGGGTGAGAGATTCAGACTGGGACAGCCTGAACATCACTGCCACTCCGCTTCCCCTGTGCTGCTGGGGTCCACAGTGTCCCACTGCTGCACCCAGGGCTGGTCCCAGCCCCACTGGCACCTCTTGTGTCCCCAGTTCTGGCACCCAGGCCTGGGTGCTGTGCTGCACCAGCGGGGAGGGAGTGGGGTCTTCGGGGCGGGATTTTGATGTCAACATTTGTTAGGTATTGAAATGAGGAACGTCTAATTTTCCCGATGAAAGACTCTTTCCGAAACACGATTACAAGGATGGAGAGTGATGAGGCGTCTAATCCACTTACATTTGACTTTTAATAAAACAGCCCTTCCAAGGAGAGCCCAAGCCTTGCTGCCAAGACGCTCTCCCCGAACGTCTCCTCGCACCACTGGACTCACTTCTTTAATACCTTAATGGGATTTTCCCCTAGTTGTTTGCAACCCCCTGATACATTGGGTCTGCAGCCAATTTCCACACCTCCCACCCTTTGGTGCCTGAGACCTGGGCTAAGTTCCAATTGCACGTGAAAAGAAGGCTTTTTAAAACTGACACAAATAAGAAAAGGCCCTCTCTCCCCAGAAGGACAGACCTTGGCAATTAAACTCCCAGAGAACGGAGAGTAAGCCCCAGATAACCCCAGTGTCTCAGGAGAGAGGGGAAGGTCCAGAAGGGAACAGGCTGGTTCAAAACTGCCTCAGTTTCCCTAAAATGGGAATGTGCTGCTTCCTTCCCCACAAAGGAGGAGATGGAGTCCTGCATCCCTGGCTACTGAAGCCTTGTGCTGGCAGGACTGGGCTGATTAACAGAGTCCCAATAACCAGTCTTGCCCTTCCCTATGTTTTCCAGATCAACCAGCCCAGCGTGGACTGGCTGCCCCCAAGCACACAGCGACCTGCTCTGAAGAGGTACCAAATCCAGCACTGTGGGAAGAAAGGGAGAGGGTGGAAGGGGATTTGGGGATGGGGAGGTTGTGTCCAACACAATTTTGAACCTGTCTCTTCTCTTTAGCTCCCAGAGCCTAGAGGATGTGGGGGAAATTCGCAGAGCCCTCCAGAAGGAGCACGAGAGGCTGTGCACACTGGTGACCCCTGTCTCTGGTGAGTATTGGTGCACTGGGGCTGGGAAAACCAGACCCTCTTGTCATTTGGGGGAGGTGTGGTAGGGGACACATCCCTGTTCCTAGCAGTGGTAGAATTTTGAGGGGCAGAAGGGATGTCCGGGCTCCAGAAGGGAAGTTGTTGACACATGACCATGGGCTTGCACCCTGGGACATGGATGTGAGCATCCCACTGAGCTATGGATGTGACCTCCCCTGAGCCAGTCTCCCACTCGTCTTTCCTCCAGAGTTTCAGAAGGCTCCAGCAGGCACCACCAGCATCTGGACACCACAGTACAGCTCCCTGTACCCGGGGCACATCCCAGCTCTGGATTATCAGCACAATGTCTACATCCCCGGCACCCCTACTCTGCTCTCCAGCAAAGATGGGCCCCTCTTCTTGGGCCGGGAGAACAAGAACAGCTTCTCCACCTTTGGCAAGAGGAAGAAGATGACAACTTACTGTGACATGCATGACAGTGTGGTCATCAACAACGACCTGAAATAGTGACCAGGCCATCCAGGCTCTGCCAAGGCCCTGGGAGTCACTCACATTATTTCAGCTGCTGGTCCACCTGCAGCACACAGTTCTGTGTATGGACCACTCAGGACTTTGTGGAGCTGCTGAGACATTGGTCCACAAGGGCGTGGGGAAAGGATTTAAGGAGCAAGAGCCTGAGAAGCAAAAGGGATGGGGAGGTGGGGGAGCGTTTCTCCCATCTCATCCTGCAGAGCTGTGTTAACAGCAGGTGCTGTTGGGGGTCCATACAACCAGTTTTAAGCAAATCTGCCTTGAGTTTATCCATTCCCACGTCCCTTTAGGGACTATTCATCTCTGTAAACATTGTCACTTTTTCGTCTTGTCTGGCTGTGTGAATGTACCGAGCTGCATGCCTGTATTTCTGTCCCAGTAGGCATGGCAAACCTGAGCAGACCAAGCCTGGTTCAGTCAAGCCTGACCCTACGTTCTGGGGCAGTGACCATTGCTCTGTCCCTGAGATCCAGTGGGATGTGTTGCATGTCCAGAGCAGCCGTTGGTGTCTGGCTTCTCCAGAAAGTGAGTGCAAAACCCAGCCATTGTCAGTGCTTCCCTTCAAACCCTGACCCAAGATTTGCAGGACTGGGCACCCAAAGTCCAGGGCACAACCAGGGTCTAGGACATGGCCAGTCTTTGCTCGGTGGGCAGCATGGGCTGGAGCACACACAGATTGGATGGCCGGAAGAGCTGTTAGCTTAAGTAGCTCAAAGATGCACCAGGTGAGGCCCTACTGGGTAACTCTCTAGCCCAAGGCAACATCATCTGAAGGAAAGAGAGTTTCCAGCCATGGTAGGGGCCCCAGCACCGGTGACAGTCCTCTTCCCTCCTCCTCCTGCCCCCACCCAGATCTCTGTTTTCCCCAAGTCCTGAATGCCTAGGGGAAGCCCTGCAATGAGGTCTCCACCTGCACAGGACAGACATCTCCCACTGTGCCCTGCTTCTCTTTGAGGACTCTTAGTTGGCTGTCAGGAGCCCTCACGGGCAGGACTCCAGCCCCAGAACAGTCTCTCCCCCTGCCTTGCTCACCCTACACCTGTGCACCCGCTCTGTCTGCCAGCATTGCCAATCGCTCCTGTCACGGGACAGTTCATTTCCAATCCATCTGTGCAGAACATGACAGCTCTTTCTAAACTGAGTTTGTTTCATGATGTCTGATTTGTACCAATAAATTGTATTTTAATAGCTCACCCTGGCTCCTGGCTGTCCCTGAGTAACAGCGGGAGTCAATGCTCAGCTCTTGGAGGAGGGCTCTCAGCTCCAGTAGACAGGCACATCCCTCTGGCCTCCTCAGTCGCTGGAGCAGCCCCAGAGAGCTCATTTTACTCACTTCACCCGGATGCTGGGGGCTCAGGGTCCCCCCTCCTCCCTTCTGTACTCAGGATCACTTCGGGGTCATGGTCAGAGGGGGTCGTGTGCCAGAGATGTCACAGAGCTGCCTGCCTCGTGCTCCAGTTTGGGCAGAGACTCTGCAAGGATTTGGCATAAAGGGCTTTGAACTGCCGGGGAGAGGGGCTGAGTCTGGCAGAAATGGCTTATTGTTGTATTTGTGCATGGCTTTCTATGGCTCATGTAAACTTTCCCCCTGGATGCTCGTCACCCACCAGAGCTGCAGAGATAACCTGGGTGTGTGCAGATGTAGGGACCAACTGCCTGGGGACAGGCACGCCTGTATCTGCTGGTGGGATGACTTGATGTGGGAAGCAGTTCACCTTCGGATGAAGTCCTGAGGCAACCACACGCCGTCTCTGTCCTCCTCTTACCCCCTGCTCGCTTGGTGACTGGCTTGGGGAGGCTGCAATGCAGCTTTTGGGATTAACCCAGAAAAGTCCTTGTCTCAAATGGGTAACGTGCTCTTTGGAGGAAGCAGGGGGCAGGGAATACTCAAAGGGGCCCCATGGGAGTCAGGGACCCAGGAGGACAGTGCTTTGGACATGAAAGGGACCTGGCTGCTTCTGGTGACTTCAGTCCCAGCTCACATCTGCCTGGCTGTCAGTAGATGAAACATTATTCCCTGCCCCAATTAGACAGTAGGATGAAGGATTTTATGCTGCTGAGTGCATTCTTCAATGGTCTCTGCAAAGTGTTAAGGGTAAAAGAAGAACCCCAAACAGCCACTGCCTGAGACCCCTGTACAGCATTAGCCTGTTTCACTGCTTCAAAAGAACAGGAGAATTATGTGAAGTGATACAGTAAAATTAATAACAGCCTCAAGAAGTAATAAAAGCCCTCCCTGCGAGGGCAGCGAGCATTGCCCTCTCCTGGATTAGCTCCGGCAATATCTTCCCTGCCATTTTCAGGCGGTGCTGGTCAGGCATTGGGAGAGGACTGCGGCCCCTTTCCAGTGAGCCCACAGGGGCTCAGTCATGGCCCCCCTGCAGCAGGGCCAGGCTGTTGGCTGGGTTTTAGCTCACACAGAAAAAGCACCCAGTACATACCCTTCATGGTATCCAGGATCTAAACAAACGCATGGAGCCAGCGCTTTGTCTTAGATTCCCAGGTGTGCCTTCCCAAAGGGAGGTCTCAAAATTGAGCACCAAAACATACAGGAATTTTAAATGGACAACTTGCACCCCTGTCCTTGGAAATTCATAGGATTGAGCAGCCAAGGGGCCAGCTTTTGCCACCTCCCCATGAGTGTGTCACTCTCCAGTGCATTTTCTTGGCATTTTTTTAACTCCTACCATTAAGGCTCATCTCATCTTTGGTAAATTGCTGCCTTCTCCTCTCCGTTACTCCTGTCTGCCCTCAGCCCAGAAGAGATAGATACACACACACACATCTGTGCCTCTTGCTGATCCCTAGGTTTGCGCCGTTATACAGGTCAAACCTCCTTCAAAAGGGGGTTGAGGGACAGCACAGTGCCCAGCCTAGGTCTCAACACCCTACGTTCCCTGGGGATCTCCTTTTGCTTAGTTAAAGGAAGACCTGTACTGGCAAGAGCTCAATTCCATGCACTCTTTTCAATAAACATATTGATAAAAAGGACAATAGAAAGGGACTTGCTTTAGGGGAGAGAGCATTTGCTGAAACCTAAATCAACCATGCTACTATCCCTTCTTCAAAGGGCATGCGTGGTCAGAACTGTCCATGTAACAGACGAGATCTCCTTTGAAGGTCTCCCGCAGGGACAGGGTGTCATTAAAAATGCAAGGTCTTTGCCCTACAACCAGTTATTTTTACAACTCTTCCTATGCTTACACTCCTGCACAGTTCATGAGCATTAGCTGGTTTCTGTATTCTGATAATGCACTGGGCATGAGAGACGCTTTGGAGAGATACTCAGCAGAACTCTCTATATGCCCCTCGCATCCGTTCCAGCTCTCTCAGAGATCCAGAGGCAAATCTGGCTTTCAGGGACCTGCCCGCCAGCTTGAGATTTGCTTCTACAACAGCGGGAAAGCTGCCATGTGGTGCAGTTGGCTGCAAAATGCTGCAGGCCATGCTCGGCAGGCACACAGCGCTTCTGGGCACCAGCACAAATAGGGGAGGTTTTTGTGCTCTTGCTGTTGCTGAATAGACTCTTTGGATGGAAACATTACTTATATCTCTGTAATGACTTGAAAGCATATACCAGAGAGACAAAATAAATCCAGAGGTAGAGAGAAAAGAGGCCAGAGAGAAAGGACCCAGAGGGACTGGTGCTCAGCTTTACCACGTGTGGAGTCAAGTGGCAGCCAGTGAAGCCCCCAGGAAACCTTAGCGGGGACGCAGCACTCTGCGTGCAGTCAGCTTAGGCTGGGCAGAGCTACGAGTACAGGCAGGCTCAGCTCCCCAGAGGGGTCGGTATCAGCAGGACAGAGCTAAAATCCATGGGGAGCCTGCGCATTGACCTTAGAAGGCTCTGGATCCAGCCCGAAGCCTGTGGCACTCAGCGGTTAATTAGCAGCAAATTCTGTAGCACTCACTGGTTAATTACAGTCTCCAAAGATGGTAGGTCTTTGTTTTCTTTTTTTTTCTCTTCTCACTTGAAGGTGACGCTGGAGTGAACACACCTTAGTTTATCCGGAACTGGGTCGAGGTCCATCCTGATTTCTTTGAAAATTGCCTCAGTGTCTCAAATATCTCCCCGGACTCATCCTACAGAACATACTGTTGTTCTTGGCTGGGACCCCTCCTTAAGCTTCCTTTTTTGATCTCAGTAGATGTTTTGTAGAAATAAATATCCTTTAGCTTTTGTCATAATAATTTAGCCTCTGCCACACTGAAAAACAGTCTGCATGATTGTCACGTGCTGATTTTCTCTGCTCCTTTGCACCTTTTTTTTTTTTTTTACTGCTCTGAAAACATTAGTTGCCAACTCCTCTGCAGAGATCAGATGAAGAAACAGGCCTGGGCTAAGTGGGGTTTTTGCCTCACCAGTTTGCCTATAATGCATTTTCCGTCTAAGTGGTGGAAATGTCACTGACTCTCTTTGCAGCATTCACTCAAGTGGAATTAATGCTTCTTGTTAGTGATAATATGACTTAATCAGCTTAATTATTGTGAGACATAAGTAGACACCTTTGTGTATTGAATAACTTAAGACATACTGGACCAAAAAGCACGAATGAAGGCTTTGAAAATAAATTAAATATGACCTCTAGTGCAGTCTGCACTTTGACTAATGATTCGTCTCCCATGAAATTCAATGAGTTACAATTCTTACATTTGAATAAATGATACATTTTTGCATGTTTTAAACAATACCAGTGATTTTTATTTCAACATTCAGAATTCAAAGAGTTTCTCCAATGCCAGGAAGAAGGGCAAACAAGTTCATGTTAAACGGATTGAAAAATAAAACATTTGTGCAGTCAGCCATCAGAAATACATCCAGAGGATCTGCAGGCATTTGCGATGAGATATTTACTTTAATTCATTGCTAGGAATATCTACAACAACAGGTGAAAAAAATGCATCAGAAGAAATGAGGAGAGAGTGAAGATTCCCAGAAGGGTCACTAAGGTCTTCACATCAAAGCCGTTCATTTCAATAATGTCTACAACAGAAAATATAATTAAATAGCTCCAGAAATGTCTTATCATACATTTTTGCCTGCACAGAAAATAAATCATACTATACGAAGGAAACAGAAGCAGAAAAAGCAACCATCAATCAAGAAAATCATTATGAGCATTAGTAGGATTTCTGATAGGCCAAGATGCAGAAGCTGTGATAGCAGCCTGCATGTGAAATTGAAAAATTGGGGTTAAATTGCTGTGTGAACCCAGAGAAAAGATGAGCTGTCTGAATTTGTTCTGTTCTATTGCAGTGAGTCACTGAATTTCTGTATCCAAATCTTCCCCTAAAAAGCACTGGAGTTCATTGTGGTGCAAACAATAATGGAGATCTCTACACAGGGATTTTTTTCAGCCCAAGTCTGTCTGAAATTCAGAGGTTAGTTTAGACTCTAGCATCACTGGGAAGCCTGGCCGGTCTGACGAGTCTCCTCTTAAGCCCATGTCCATATTTCTTGGTGTTTTAACTAACAGAAAGTGTTCTTCATCTGCCAAGAGTGAGGGCTGAGGGCATTAGGCTTAATTTTTCTGTGTGAGAGCTGCTGCTCTTTTGTGCCCAGTTTATCACAGCTCTTGCTCTGCAGTTGTTCAGTCTTTATTGACTAAATCCAAATCTTCCTTGAGTACAGATGGAACATACCCACCCAGGTATCTAAATGAAATGAGTCTGTCCTGGGACTGAATCCCACCTGTAGAATCCCATTTGTTCCCAGTCTCCTCCTTGATCTTCCTTAAATATAATTTCCCAGAAGTAAAAGTAAAGCCCTACGTGCCCAGCACCTGCCTGTGAGTGGCTTTTTGCCAGAAATCAGAGGAACAAATTTGCTTTTTGCTTTGAGTCTCTCCTAGAAGACCAAACTTCAGGAATGTAAACCTGAAATCAGTTCCTAAAGCAAAAGCTTAATTTTCCTGTTGCCAGGAAATGCAATGTTATATTCAGTTTGTTTGCCTAAACCATCATTTCTTCTTCTTATTTTCCCCCTGAAAAATAATCTGGTAGTTGCCCCAATATGTAAGGAGATCTACAGCAGGGTGAATCCTTTTCCCATGTTGCCCAAGGGTCCTTTTGGCTGGTTGTGCCACATGCCATGAGCCATTTGATTCCCTCATTGCCTGTCAGATGGCACTTACAGGGATGGTCATGTTCCTTAGATGTCA